TGGCTGATCTTTGGAATATGGTAACTGGTAGTTTGGCGACATTTTGGAGGCGATAAAGGTTACTACCTAGGACTTTGGTAATAATGTGAGAAGTACTCAGTTCCGATTACGCATTATTTTGTGTGAGGGAAATGAGAGATCATGAGATATGTCATGTGACATTAATGGACGAATTACAGTTCTTTAATCGGAAAAGGGGGAAAATCTGGAAATTTTGTATTTAGCTTTATTCTGTGTTGTGTGAAACAGTGTTGGTTAATTTTTGGATCCCATGGCCCTAACTAAAGTGAATTCGAAATGGGTATTTAGTGGGATTGAAAGGGGTAGTAATAAGTGTTTTTTTAAGGTTGTGCGAGATAGAAGTAAAGATGTTTTATTAAGTTATTTATTTTACCTGGTACCTTGCTGTGAACTATAAGTATGATTTTAAAGATCCTGAAACAGGCGCACATACGCTTGCTTTTTATTTAGCGGAGGAAATAAGAAAAGTTTATCGGCCACGTAATCAAGATTCTGAAGAAGATTAGGTAAGTTAGTATTTTTAATTATTTGAGGATATTATTTTTATGCATTGTTCTAAATGTAAGGAGTAAATAAAGTAATATGGTATTATTGGAAAATTGTTATTAGCAATGATTTAGTTTAAAGTAATTAGGATTGTAAGCTAATTTTTATTAATTTAATGTATGTGCTTATTTATATTTTAAGTAGTGTTTTTGAATTTAATTATATTTTAATTAAATGATAGTTATTTTGTGAATTATATGTTTGTAGGAATTTGGTATACGTTTCAGTGGAAGTAAACGTGCATGGAAATAATTTAAATATTTGACACTAAGTATTTGTAACCATTTGTAATGTTTGAGGTATGAATTCGTTGGTGACGTTTATAGATAATTTAGAGGTAAAAGTATTTTATTTATTTTATACGTGGAAATGTTCATCTTTGGAAAGGGTATATACTTTTTCGCGATCAGGTAATTTCATATATGTTCTTTTTACCGGATTTAAAGATTCACAAAATTTTCATGCATTTTCGTGAAATTTTTCTAATTTATGAGAAAAAAGCAGTGTACATGGATATAGTGAAGAGTGTGCGCAATGCCATTTTTGTGCAATTCTGGGATGTTTTTTTTTAAGTAAAAATAAGTCGACGTGTACATGGTTTAGTGATATTTTAATTAAATGATAGTTATTTTGTGAATTTTATGTTTGTAGGAATTTGGTATACGTTTCAGTTGAAGTAAACGTGCATGGAAATAACTTAAATATTTGACACTAAGTATTTGTAATGTTACGGTATGAATTCGTTGGTGATGTTTATATATAATTTAGGGGTAAAAGATTTTTGATATTTTATACGTGCAAATGTTCATCCTTGGAAAGGGTATATACTTTTTCGCGATCAGGTAATTTCATATTTGTGCTTTTTACCGAGTTTAAAGATTCACAAAATGTTTTTGCATTTTCGTGCAAATTTTTGCAATTTATGAGAAAATAGCAGTGTAGATGGATAAAGTTAAGAGTGTGTGCAATGCCATTTTTGTGCAATTCTGGGATTTTTTTTAAGTAAAAATAAGTCGACGTGTAAATGGTTTATGTGTATGTGCTATTCTGAAAAACGTGCAAGGAGTTTGCGATTGTACACTTTTTCCAAATTTTGCAGTTAATATTTGTCATGATTAAGCAGTTTTGTTACATAAAATTTCTAGCATAAGTGTAATTCGGCTAGTAGACTGTTGGAAAAAGCATTCAGTAAATAAAAAGAAAAGAAACATGTCTTTACTTCGTGAAGACAAAATGGCGGCAAAAAAAAAAAATAAAATAAACGGTTGCTGTAGCAGAGTCGGTCGCCAAATTTTCGCCAAAAAATTGCCAAGTTACCATAATCCAAAGATCAACCGAAAACCCCATTCTAGTACTATTAATACCACTGGAGAGCTTAGTGACAAAAAATTCTCGCCAAAGGGCTCTTCGCAGTAGTTGGCTTTTTGCCTTATCAAAGAAACAATAACTCTTCTTAACAAATTATTTACTTACCGGATCATTATTCATGGGGGGTTGTTCGTTATCCGACATCTTTGCTTTAATTTTACCACGCAATAATTTATGTCAGGAATTTGTTCCGACAGAAAGGCTGGAGACAGGAAAACTTTGCAGACGATGATGAATTCTATGTAAAAGGAAATTTATCTTTAATTATTATATTGTCAAAATAAAATGAACTTTCAGTTTCATGAACTATTAAAGTAAAATTCGTGGAAAGTGCAGAAATACCCATTGCTTGGCGAGTTTTTATTGCACATAGTCGGTATGCATGTACACATCGAACTATTTTCACTTAAAAAACCATCCCAGAATTACACAAAAATTGCATTGCGCACACTTTGAATTTATCCATGTACACATCGCTTAAAAAGTCAAAGAAAATTGACAAAAATCCAATTCTTCTTACTCTTGTAAAAAGAGCCAAACAAATAAGTGGGTGATTCTGCACTTTACCCAAAAATTCTACTCCTGAAATATTAAACATGCTAAGTTTCATAATTATCTTGTACATTCAATGTTAATTTACTAATACGTTATAAAGTTGAAAATTATTAAACAGTAGTTTACTTAAGCACGATTCGTACCTTAGAATACCTCTTTCGTTTACGTTTCGTTTGAGACAAAGAACAATATAGGAAAGGACGCCGCAAAACCGTTCTACTATCAGTGTTGCCAAAGAGAAGTTTGGGATATTACCAGCCTGCGTTGATAAACCGCAAAGCTAGCGAAGGACAAAGGAGTTGATTGAATACTATAATATTCAAATCAGGGATCTTGAAGAAAAAAAAACCCAAGGAGCAATATGGCTCATTTACTGAAATTGAGAAAAAATTTCATTCCTTCCTCATTAGCTAGCTAGACATGAATAAGATTTTAAATGAACAAAATCTTAAATCATGTCAGGATTCCATAATTAAAAATCATTACTTAAATTCTAATGAAGTATGTACTAATAATTGTTGCCTTTCAGATAATGCTTGGAGCCGTAACACTATTAAAATTAATGACGATTCTTCAACCAATACTGATGATGAATTAACGCTTAATAAAGCCATAATTTCGGATGATGATCTTCCCAATAAGCGTCGCAGAGATCTACTAGTCTGGACGCGTATTTCCAAACCCTACCCCACTTGCATGTTCCTAAAACGTACTCGCCGTACCACCTGCTGTGACAATGCTGAATCACTATTGGCTGACCGACTTGCTACGTAAAAAAGTCACTTGTTTGGTCACGTGACAAGCCGATTGCATGGATTCTAGTGCTGTAGAAGTAACGAGAAATTGTGTACCCGTATGTATTCGTTACTCGGTGAACTAGTACTCGTTACTGTCGTATCGTTACTCGTTACTTTCGGTAAAATCCATCGGTATTCGTATCCTGAGCCTATTTTATCGGTATACGGCTCTAGGGGCCCTATGCGATAGGGAGTTTTACGTCGTATTTTTGGATGGAAATAATTCACCTCTTTTTGTTGTGTCACAAAAGTCAGAAGTCAGAAGCGCCTACGGAAGGCCGTCAGGAAAATAGGAAAAAATAAAATAAAAAATAAATAAATAAAATAAATATTACAATAATAACATTAATTAGTAATTAAAATAATAAAAAATTACTTAGTAAAAAACTTATTAATTAAAATAATAAAAAATAGTGATTAAAATAATGAATATTTAAAGTAACGTAATAATTAGCAACTGAAATATAAAATACTTATAAGTAAAATTTAACAAAAATGTAAAGACAAATAAAAATTAAAATAATTCTTAAATTTAGGATGAATAGTTAAATTATAAAGTAAAATACCAGACCTTGACAGTCTTATTGGCTTAGTACCTTTTCGTCCTTTCTCATTTCATTCCAGTTCCAAAAAGTGTCATTTCGTTCGCTGCCTTTCCCCCACCAATTCCCTCTTTCCCGTTTTATCCGCTGTTTGAAAAATAGGTGTTTACTTTACGATAAGACGAACGTCTGTTTACTTCAATTAAAATGGTTTAGAAGAGATGACTGTTTCTACTTCGACTTCGCTTTTGATTTCTATACTATTTATTATTTTATGCAGACGAATTATGCTGAGCAGAAGAATGAATTTCAGACATGTTCAGAAGGTGTTGTATCTGAATATAATAACATTTTTTGTTATATTGTATCCATTTTTTTTAATTTCACACATTTCTAAAGCAACAGAACCACGGTATCACTATTTTGGCACACACACACCAAAAACATGTATAATTAAGACATTAATGTTACATTCTTTATTAAAAGCAATGGGTCCTCTTTAAATGCAACCATTCCATGCTTTTTAGAGGATTTTACATGTCGTGGTCTTAAAAAGGTGATGTTCACTACCAATGTTTGTTTATGTTCACAAAAATACAGATCTCTTAGAAAGTGACGTCTTAAAGATGTCGTAATTAGATGATTTTCTATAATTATTTTCTAATAGATAACGGAATTAATGTAATTTAATGTCAATAACTCGAAGAAGCAAGTTTAAATACGGTGCAAGAAAAATACAGAAGTATTTTAAATGACGAAAATATTCATATTTTGTCAATGTCAAATTTTAAAAAGAATTAATTTTGGACAAATTATGAAATCTAACTTTTAATGTTGTCTTCTGGTTCCTATATTTATAGCTGGCAAAGTTTTATACTCGTTATGAAAAAATAAAAGTACAAGAAGTTTGAGTCTCGTAGACAGAGATTGACCGGGAAATTTAATTTCAAAATTTGCAGTGTTTGATGCCATTTGTAACTTGCCTTCGGGTATCGCTTAATTAAGTTAGAATAATTCGAGGAAATAAGTTTAAATGAAGTGCAGCAAAAATAAGCATAATTTAAAAAGTTATGCGGTATCCATATCAAATTTCACTTTTCATAATGACAATAAAACTTTCCCAAATACAAATAAAGAAACTGGGTTGGTGTTGGTGTATTTAATTATGGCAAAGCACACTAGGGCTATCTGCCTAAAGGAGGGATGCCTTCGTGGAGGACTTTCTAAGGGAAATGGCTGATATACACTTACACATGGGGAAAACCACGAAAACACCCATGCAGACAGCCCGTTCGCGGGATTTGAACCTCAGACCGAACTACCAGTGTTCAACGACGTTACCGCTGGACCGCTGGTGGGCTAAAGAAACTGGGAGACGGCATTAAAGGTTAGATTTCGTTATTTGTCGATTATTCGTTACTTCGTTTGCTGCTTCTCCCCATTCCTTTCATCAGAACCGCTAATGACGAAAGGGTGAAATTCTAGTAAAGCATGTATATTAATGTTCATTATACATTTGTCACATTTTTGCTTTCTTTCAAGCGATAATGTGGTTCTAAACAGCGATAATATTGTTTTATAAATTAATAAAATGGGCCGTATGTTATAAAAACCTAATTATATTCAGATACACACCTTTTGCACATGTTTGAAATCCATTATTCTAATCAGAATGTCTACAGAAAATATTGAATCAATATTAGAAATCAAAAGCTAAGTGAGAATGAAGTAGTAAGAGTCATATCGTCTAACCTGTTTTAATTGAAGAAAACAGGTGCTTGCTTTATCGTAAAGTGAACACCTGTTTTTCAAACAGCAAATGAAATGAAAAAGAGCCCACCAGCGCTCGAGTGGTAAAGTCGCTGAAGACTAATAGTTCGGTCCGGAGTTCAATTCCTGGCTAACAGGCTGGCTGCACGGGCGTTTTCGTGGCTTTTCCCCATGTGTACCTTGCATATTGAGCCAGTTTCCTTTAAAAAGTCCTCTACGAAAGGCATCCTTCCCTCCCTTAGGCAATAGCCCTAGTGTGCATTTGCCGTAACTGAATAAACCAAAACAAAAAAGAGGGAATTGGGGGGGAGGCAGCAACAAAAGAGGCAGCACCTTCTGAAAAAAAAAGGGAATTGGTGGGGGAAGGCAGCGACGAAACGTCGTTTTAGAATAATGGACTACATAACCAAATTTCTATCTATACTCTGGTAAAATAATAAAAGCCAATTAACTTACTTAGTGATAAATAAATAAAATAAAAACCAAGGCTTTTATTTTCGCCTTACTTGTCTTTTATTTTATATTTATATATATATGTGTGTACTTTACATTTAATTATAAGGATATATATATATATATGTACTTTACATTTAATTATAATTTCTTTAAAATATACATATTTACGTTTTGGTAGTATTACCGATTGCAATAAAAAGGGAGGTGCACGTCTAGATGTTATAACAGGTCCCATATACAAAATTTCAACGTTCTGCAACTAATCGTTTTTGAGTTATGCGAAATTGCATATATACGTACTTACACATCACGAAAAAAATCCCTTTCAAGTATCAACTTTAGAGTCATAATCATTAGTCATAAGTATCAGCTTAGAGTAAATGGGATTACATTTAACAATCCGTTTCTGGAAAAAAGAAAAAAAAAGAGTCCTTCATTGTGTTTGTACGTACAGACGTCATCCAAAAAAATAATTCACATGGATTCTGTAATCGTCAAAAAATGGATATTTCCGTTGAAATATGATACGCAAAAATTTTTTCTCGATTACAATACTTACTTCCTTTTTATTTCGTACAAGGAAGTAAAGAACTTATATTAACCTACATATTCTTATTTAAACAATACCTGAAAAATGTGGCACACGGGTATTGTTAGCAAATGTATCATTCGTATTCGAACAGCAAACCGGGCCGATATTCTTCCTGACCGACCATTCGCATACCCCCTTGATCGAATTGACGACGTGGAGTACGTCGCTTGTTGTCACGTAAAGGATTGCTGCTAATTTGTTAAATGTAATTGTAGTTTGCTGTATAAGACGTAATAAATTTTGTATGCATATACAATTCTGAATTAATAATAAACCACTAAAAGGTACAGCTGGTAAAGAATATAGAACACAAACCTCTTCAGACATAACGCTTGAAGTATTTTATTTGGACGGCATAAGATATGTTTACTAGGAAGACAAATTTCGGCAAACAAAATATATAATATGCAAAAGAAATTTCGTTACCGGAGCATAAAAGTATTTATTATTGTACTTTAGATTTTCAAATATCAGAGGTTGTGATATAATGTAAGAGAATTTTGATTTAACATAAGAGATTCAATTTTGAGGGAGTTGGAGCTTGACATGAAGGGATTTTTTATTTATTTTTAATAAAACAAGATTGGTTTTGTATTTTTGAAAATTTTTGGCAGAAGAACAGTTTAATCTTTTAATATTTCATTGGTATGTTAATATTTTCTGGAACTAAAATTAAAAAATGGAGGACTGTTAATATTTGCAGTAATAACCGATATTCTGAAAAAGAATATTGTTTTCGATTATTTAAAAATATAGAGCAACTTCTGATGATGTCCGTCTTTTAAAAAGGTACAAAAAGGCAAACTAGAACACTACTTTGTCATTGTCACAAGTAATGTATCAAAAAACATTGTTTCAGTTTTGGATGTGGGTATTCAGTTGCATACTAATTTATGTGAATCACAGGAAAAAAATAAGCATTCAAAAACTTGGAAACAGTCATTATGGTATTTCTAGGCAAAGTTTGGCATGGTGAATTAATAATTTCAAAAAGTTGTGTAGTGGATTTGTCATTCGGAAAGCACTTTGCAAGGTTGGAATGTGCTCAGAATATCATGGTATGCCTTGAATAATAAGAAGAAATGCTTACCAGCAAGGGTCAGAATTCAATAGAGCCAGGATTGTTGCCTATAGAGTGTGTG